CAAGATTAAGACAAAGGTTTCCCTTGCATGCAGGGGGTGGGAGTCAGTTTGCTGGCAAAATAATCAAATAACAAAATTGATGGAAAAATTTTAAAAAATAATCTGAGAACACCATCTCAGTCATTCTTTAGAGAGGATTTGCTGATGATCTACTACTGTGTGTTAACTGATGAGGGTAGCAGCACACCCCTGTTCCTAAGAAGGGAGGCAGACAAATGAACGAGCAGACACCTTGCTGAATACTTAACCACTGCAGGGGGACAGCCTGGGCTGTTGAAGAGGCTGGTGGGGCAGGGTGCTTACGTCTGACTTGGGGAGTGGGGAAACTTGGCATCTCCCCAGGGGATGCTGAGTTGAAACCTCAGGCCTGAAAGCTGTAAAGAGGTGATTTGGAAAAATCATGCTTGGCTGAAACCTGGGAAATGAATGGTACTATCGAGACAGGAGGTGGGGAGATGGTGGAAAGACATGGTGGCCCTTTTCCCCCCCTCCCTCCCCAACCATCCCCTCAGCAGCAGTGAGGTCAGAAGAGGCCTGTGTTTCTGGGTCGGTGGGGGGCGGGGGGGGGAACTCCCGATGATGGGAGCCTGCTGGGTGGGATGACTGTGAGGGGAAGACAATGGCTGTAACCCAGGGCTGGGCTTCTTAGAAAGGGCTGCAAGGGTAGGGAGGGAGCAGAACTTGAGTTTAGCGATGGACTAATTCAAGATGCTTCTGGAATGAAGAGAGGAGGGTCTGGCAGGCAGCTGGACACGGGGAGGGGAGCCTAGGGGAGGAGGCTGGGCTGGAGATGAGGTCTGGGAAGTCCTCCCTCAAGTGGCTAGAGACTTTGACGATGACGGACTTTCCTAAGTATTGTATTGGCCAAAAATTTCATTTGGTATTTTTCTGTAAGCTGCACACAAAAACCCGAATGAACTTTTTGGTCAACACAGTATTTTGGCAGAATCCTTCCCTGTCAAGAATTTGGTGCTAATTACAGATACCAGCAGGCCTCATTTACATATTAACAACTAAATGTACTAATTACAAATGAGCTTTATCTATTCATTAAGACAAGCCCAGGAGGCTTTTTCACCTAGAAAGTCTATGATAGCATTCAGCTAAATTACCATGTGTGCACCTGGAGAAAAGTGCCGGCAGCATATGTTCTGTGCCCTTGCAGCCGTCAGGCTGGCAGAGCAGAGGCTTCAGTGGATCTAAAACCAAAGAGGGGATTCCATTTTGCAGCCTGAGAAAGCCAAGGCATGCGTGTGGCTAAGAGTAGTTTCCAGTGTAGTTACAGGGGGAATCCAAAATTGTTATAGTTTATAAAAAATGTTTTGTGTAGCTTCTTCCACCGGAGGAAGCATCCCGTAATCGTCTCCACGAGGCCCTCTGAAGGCAAAGGGATTTTCAGACGGAGAATGAGTGAGAAGCCCCTACACGCCACCTGGGCAGCCGCCTAGGGAGCAGTGTCTCCCACCCTAGCCGGGGAGGGAGGGTCCAGAAGGAAAGCGGGCTTGGCAGAAACGGTGCCACACAAGGCTAGCTTTGCTTGAAGATACTAAGGAAACTGGGGTTCAACTGAAGAGGCTGGGGATGAATCAGTGATTTAATGATACACATGGGCTCAGCTGTGTCCCACTCTTTGCGACCCCCTGGACTCCCCCCCACCAGGCTCCTCTGTCCATGGGATTCTCCAGGCAAGAGTACTGGAGCGGATAACCATTTCCTGCTCTAGGGGATCTTCCTGACCCAGGGATCAAACCTGCCTCTCTTCCACCTCCTGCACGGGTGAATTCTTTAGTTAACGGGAAAACCAAGCCAACTGGCAACGACTAACTCCAGCAAAACCAAAAAGCGAACAAAAGAAAACGGTGTTCTAGTTTACCAAGCGGCTCAGCTGTGCTGGAACACGGAACTCGTCAGCGATTTGGCTAAAAGCGTGACATCACTATATTGAGGAAATGGAGAGGAGGCAGATTACGTGTTTGGGAGGGATGGTGTTACCCACCAGGGTTCTTGGTCTCCTTAATCAACAGACAAAGAGGCCAGGCATGAAATTCGGGCAAGTCTTTCTGGGGCCCCACTGCAGCGCAGGGTGGGGTGGGGGACTGCTTCCTTACACGGGGTGACGGTAGGCGTGTGTGCAGGGCGTGGGCTGGAGGGGTGGCCTGGCTGCCCTTTGGGGGTGGTGTGTGCAGAGCCAGTGCGATACCCTGTTCCTGACCCAGGCTCTTCAGAAGTAGCAGTTGGGCTTTTTTGGTCTCTTTGTATCTTTTTGTCCATAATGTGCCCCAGCTGTGCCCTGCAGGCATTCTGATCCCTTATAGTTTCTTTGTATTTTCTTGCTCAAGGTCGCCTTTGTCCAGGTGCAGGCACTGCCTCAGAAGGTCCTGAGTCCCAGGCTGTCTCAATGGCACAACCTTCCACAAAGAATCTAAAACCGGAGAAAATGAAAAAACGGACTACCCTGGTAGTCCAGTGGCCAAGACGCCAGGCTCCCAATGGAGGGGGCCCGGGTTCAATCACTGGGCGGGGAACTAAATCCCACATACTCTGCAACTAAGACCCAACGCAGTCAAATAAAATAGATATTTTAAAAGGAAAGGAAAAGCATCCTAGGCACGCTGCCTGCGAACAGGGAGGTGGAGAGCAGAAGAGGGAGGGAGTGTGTTTGTTGTACACGAGGAGTGAGAGCTGGGAGGGAGTGGGACAACTCTTTTCTATCACGCACCTTGAGTCCATGTTCGGCTTTCCTAATCTATGGAGATGTGCCACTCTGATTAAAAATAAAACTACATTTTAAAGGACCCCGGGTCACATGGAAGATGAGTCTGTTTTGCTTCCATTGCTAAGGAAAGGCATGAACAGCAACAAAAAATGTTGCCTCGAGTCTCCTCAGTTCTGCGAAGCAGAGACGTGGCCGCGGGTGTGTGTGCAGAGGCCCCGGCGGGCGTCCTGGGAGGGGCGGCGGCGCTGGCAGGTCTGAAAGGCAAGCCCTCTGTGGCGCTGGCTGGGCTCAACATATTGTGGGGCTTCCCTCGCCTCGTTGAGAAAACCCCGATTCTGGTCCAGACCTCGCCTTCTCCTGAGGCCTTTACTGACCCCTCCTTCCGTGGGCTCCCAGCACAGCCTGTGCCCATCTCTCTCATTAACTAGAACCCCCTTCTCCCCCTCTTCACGGGCCCCTCTTGGAAGGAGCTGCGCCCTATACAACTTGCACAAAAGAATTCGACCCCTCCGGGAGCCCTCTGACGGCTGAGCGCAAATCCCCCAGCGTCTTCTGTTCTCTCCCTCTGTTCGGTTCCTGTCAACACCCAGGTCCCTGTCCTCCCCAGAAGCTCACTAACCCTCTGCCCCGCCCTCCCCTGCAGGAAGGAGAGAAGCCCAGGGCCTGATGGAGAGTCAAGGCATCTCCAAGAGGATGAAGGGAAAGTTGAGACTGGGTTCGGTCACAAGTTTCGAGCCCAGACACCAGCCCCGAGCAGACTCTGAAGGCCCGGCTGTGCGCCCCCTGCTCAAGGAGTCTCATGTTGCAAGCCCTCGTGGTCCCCGAGCCCTTCCAGGAAGGCGCAAGCCTTACATCTCACCCATCAGCATCTCTGTACAACGGGCAAGCTGGAGATGAATTCTGTCCCCCACCCCCAGCCCTGCCTGCAGCACTTGGGGAAAGCTTCGTCTTTCCCTTCGTCTGGCCTAGAGGGCCTGTGCATGGGGTGGGGTCCCCCTCTCCTCACAGGGGGAACACCCACCCGGACCTTATCTCTCAGTTTCCTGACGGAGACCAAGCCTTCGGAAGGGCAGTCTCCCCAAGACGGGGGAAATCATTAGCAGAAAGGAGCCTAGAGGCTGCATGACCACCGGAATAAATATAATGATGGCAAATGATTTCTGGACCCCGCCTTTGTGCCAGTCAAATGCCTTCCACACATCATCTCACTCTCCTGCCCACACACTGTGAAATCAAGAACATCATAGCCTGGCACTTAGCAGCCAAGGGCCGAGGCTCAGAAAGAACTCACCTGACACGTGAAGAGAGAGGTCACCCCAGGACTGTCTGACCTCAGATTCCGAACTTTTGACTTGGACGTTGTATTTCCATGGCCCAGATATGTCGGGGAGAGAAAAGAGGTGATAGCATGTTCTGTTTTTTGTTGGTTTTTGTTTTTTCTGTTTTAAGGTTAAGGGAAGCTCAGTACATTTTGAAGAATGAAATTGTAAGGGAAGTCTAGCTTTTGATTGGAGTGTCTCCCACCAGTATCCCTACCCCTTCATTCCTCCCAAGCCCGCAACCAGCAGCCCAATACTCCAGGAGTTCTGGGGTCACTTTTTATTCTTTGGTTGCAAAACGAAATCAACTGTAAACAAGCAAGCACTTTAAATAATGCTCCCTGAAGTGTGCCCTTAATCTGCATGCCGTCTAGACTTTCTAATGCCCCCGCAGGAGCACGTGGGTCTTATCAGTGTCTACATCTTTGACGAGGCAGAAGCCCACACTGATCTGGGCTGATGACTCCTGGTGCCTTCCACATCTAGTTAGTAATTTCAGATGTTGTGGGAGGGCGTTCTTGGTGGGAGAATCACACTTTCAATCCAAAATTAAAGCTCAATTTGGTCTAATTGTCCTTGATTTTATCAGTTGCATAAAATGGCTGATTCTGTATGCAAAAATAAATAAATAGCCACGCAGCTTCGAAATCCCTTCTTCTTGGGGATAGAGCCCATCAAGTTCATTGCTTTCTCTCCTATTTTCATCCACCGAACAGTGCTGATCTTTCTCTATCCTTTTCTATTTTTCTCTCCCTTCCCTGCACTCCCCCCAGCCCTTACCAAAAAAAGAAAAGCCTAGTGTCTCTCTGTGTGTGTCTATCTTCTCTGTCTGTGTCTTGTGTAATTTTAGAACGGAAGTTCCTTAAGAGCAGGAATAGTTCCTTCATGAGATGATGACAACCAGAAATCTGGCAATGCCTATTTAAATGGTAAATTGAAATTAAGAAAATAATAAAAGTGGCCATTTATTTCTCTAGTAACAGTTTGTTTGCAAAAATCCAGCAATAGGGACCATATTTGGGGCCTTGTAATGCAGAGGCAGGGAGACTGTGTCCCAGGCCTCTGGGGGAGAATGCCTTCCATGAACATCCGAAGACACCCTCCAGGCCGTGAGGGCAGTGGAGGGTGCCCAGCCCCAGGGGCCAATAGTCCTGGGTCCCAGCCTGCCCCTGCCTCCAAGGCCCCATGGTGCGTGAAGGGATGGCACGGTCTGAGTTGTACTCCAGAGGTGGCCTCTGTACTCCAGGGAGGACGAAAGAGGTTGGCAGTGGCCCAGAAGCAGCGGCAGGAGAGACGGAGAGGAGCTGAGGAATCTGAAAGGAATTTGAGAGGCTGAGCCAGCAGGGCCTGATGCCAGGCGGGTGTGAGGCGAACAGGGTCTTGGCAGATGCTCTCATCCCTGCCTTGAGGACCCAGGAGGGTGTGAAGGATGTAGATCGAGGTGGCAGTGGGCCACCATCAAGAAACCTACAAATGACAAATGCCTGAGAAGGTGTAGAGAAAAAGGAACCTTCCTACACTATTGGGGGAATTCACATTATACAGGTGGGCAACAGTGTGGAGGTTCCTCAAAAAGACTAAAAACAGAGCTACCATATGACCCAGCAACCCTACTCCTGTGCATATATCAGGAGAAAACCATACTCTGAAAAGATACATGTACCCCAAAGTTCATTGCAGCACTGTTTACAATAGCCAGGACATGGAAGCAACAGATGGAGGAACAGATAAAGAAGATAGAGTACATAAACACAGTGGAATATTACCCAGTCATTAAAAAGAATGAAATAATACCATTTGCAGCAACATGAATGGATCTAGAGATTGTCACAGTAAACGAAGTCAGTCAGACAGAGAAAGACAAATATCATACGATATCGCTTCCATGTGCAATCTGAAAAAAAGGGTACAAATGGACTTACTTACAAAAAAAGAAGTAGAGTCACAGATACAGAAAACAAACTGGTTACTGGAGGGATAAGCAGGAGGGATAAACTGGGGGACTGGGATTGACGGCCACACGTGACTAGACATAAAAGAGGTAACTAATAAGGACCTACTCTGTAGCACAGGGAGGTCTACTCGGTATTCTCTAAGGACCTGTATGGGAAAGGAATCTTTAAAAGCACGTGTGGGTATATGTGCACGTGTAACTGATTCAGTTTGCTGTACACCTAAATCTAACACACATCGAAAGTCAGCTCTACTCCAATAAAAATTAAAACAAAGAAGACCGTAGCAGGAGTAGAAGATGTCAGATTCTGTGCATCGGCCCTGCCAGCGTTGCTTTTTGTACAGATTTTAAAACATGCCCACCAATTCTTGAACACTATTCCTGTCTTGAATACAGACTTGCCTGGGTGACCGACTTGTAATGAACACACTGCAGTAGAGATCCGTCCAATTCAACTTCTCACCTGGCCTCCACAGGCTGCACGCCGGCCTCCTAGGACTGTTTGGGAGGAGCTTCCTCCGCTGACAAAATGCTTTTCCGCACCATCCCCTATAGTAGCCGCCAGCCACACATAGCTACTGGGTAGCACGACTGAAATATGGATTAAAAAAAAATTTTCATTTCAAAAGTTTTCTATTGAAGTATTGTTGCTTTACAATGTTTCAAGTATATAGCAAAGTGATTCAGTTATATATGTGTGTGTGTGTGTATATTCTTTTTCAGATTATTTGAAATACAAAATGTTAAGTCTTATATAAGTTGAATTACTTTAAATGAGAATGTCCAGAGCTGGTGGCTGATGGCTCCCATGAGTGGAAGCTGGATGGTGCAGACAGGGCTATAGCTAAGTGGATTGTTCTGTTTCCAGTCTGGGGTCTCCCTGGGACCCAGAAGGGGTTAGGAGCACGACCTCTGCTCTGAGGATCTGTGGAAGAACATACGACCCGCCCTTTAAAAGAACATGTCAGGACTGGGAGGAAGCTCAGACACTTCTTTGCAGAGGAGGAAGCTGGGCCCAGCAGTGGGGTGCTGGGAGCAGGGAAGGGCAGGCAAGGAAGTTTCACAGGGAAGATTGGCCCCGTCCCCACCATCCAGCAGATGCTGGAAAGAGGGCAGGAGTTAAGACAAGAGCGTAAGATTGGAGAACTAACGGAAAGAGGAGGAAGGGAAAGGAAACGCTTGGGAGCTCCTCCCCAGAAGACCCCGCAGGACACAGTGGTCAGCCCCCTGGGAACACGAGCCGACCTCACCTACCAGCTCATAACCTGGAAGAAGTATGGAAGGAGAGCTGATCTGAAGCCCGAAGGGCCCGCTGGTGAGCCCGAGTGAGGACAACGGGCCCCACCCAGAGCTCCTGCCAACCTGCTCTTTCCTGCTTGGCTCCGATCCCATCAGGGGTACGGCTGGCTGACGCCCCACAACCACCGACCTCGGGCTGGGGGCCTGGAAACAGATCCCAGATCCCAGATCCCAGCCTGGCTTCTGTCCGCTGGGAAGCCCAGCAGGCGCCAGGGTGTGAGAAGAGAGCAAAGACGCTGCCCCGCGAGGGGAAGGGCCTCTGCCTGACACGCGGTTCTGTCACCTGTGTTCTGCCCTGGCTGGTGCCTGACTTGCAGGCCCGTCACTGGAGTTCTGTCCTTGCTGGAGACTGGGAGGGATGCTGCTGAATTTATTTCTATTCTGATGAGTTACTTTTGAAGTAAGAATAGGGATAGTTGGTTGATGTTGGCTTTGATGCTGAATAGCTCTGTGTCTTTAATCAGCTGAGGGCCTTTTCCTGTCACTGTCTTCCTTTCTTGGGAGAGACCATGTTCTTGCCAAGGGAGAGACAAAGATGTCAGTGTGGGCAAGGGGGCTCCAAGCCCGGTTGTCACTTGTGCACTGTGTCCAGGGCCAGGGAGGAACCAGATTTTCCTACAGGATACTGGAGACAGAAAAGCTCGTATGTCTCCCCCACCCCACTCACTGGACAGGGCTATGGAGCTTGCTGTGGCTCTCTTTTTACTTCATCCACCCATCCGTCCACCCACCTACCCATCCATCCGTCTACTCACCTACCCAACCACCCATCCATTCACTCATCCATCCACCTATCCACTTACCCACCCATGCATTCATTCACACATGCATTCATCCTTCCACCCACCCAGCTATCCATCTGCCCAGTCATTCATCTACTCGTCTACCCACGCAGATGGGTAGGTACTATCTATCTACTCCTTTTGAGTAAAAATCCCCCAGTACCCCGAGTCCAAGCCTTTACCCATGGGGATGTAATCACCAAATATCACACAGAAGTTCATTTTGCAGCTTATGCATGCCAATTATATTTCTTTCACTGAGTGTGTGTGTCCTTTTAAGCTTACTGCCTAACCCTCAGGAAAACATTCTAAGGCCAGGAAGATGGAAGAAGGGAAGGGGAGAGGCCCAGGAGTGTGTGGGAGGAGCTGAACCCCTCCTGGGGTAACTAAAGCAGGAAGCGCGCCCACATATTTTGCACAGTTTAGACTTCTTTGGGATCTGGCTCAGAAAAAGGCCATTTTCTGCCCTTCTGCTCTGCGCTGGAGCAGGAGCAGAAAGGCCTTTCGGGGAGCAGGTAGAGGGTGGAGGGGCCCCTGTGTGAGCGGTGGTCACCCTAAGCTCACCTGGCCTGGGTGCGGACGTGGGTGGAGCCTGGGGAACAGGGAGGCGGGCGCGTGTTCTCTGCCAGCTTCCCCTCTCACCAGGCGCCGAGACGGCTTCTCACGTTCCTGAGAAAGTTCGTCAGCTTACTTCTGCTCTGTTCCCCAGCAGCCAAGTAACGTGTGGTCTCCGGTAACACAACTCTACAAACGGCGGCTCTCGGAGGAAACGCTTCGCTGAGAAATAATCTCACTGTGCCAATTGTGGGCTGATCATTCTCCACACTCAAAACACACTGAACATGTTGGCTTTCAAGACACATCAACAGTGGAAATGCGAACCCACTTGCTAATGCAGAAGGAGAAGAGAGAAACCACCTCTCCTTCGAATGCAAGTCAGGCCGCTCAGCCGCCCTGGGTTTGGTCTGCGGGGTGTGTTCAGGGAGGTGGCTGTGCCTTGTCAGAAGTTTGGTTTCCTGAAGGCTGGGTGTCTTTTCCCAGACGCCCCGTGAAGAGCTGGCTCTGTGGCGATGGTCAGTCCTGGGCCGAGCTGCGCAAACCACTCTCCTTCCCCACAAACCTGCAGGGATGAAGGGACTCGCTTTCTCCTCTTTCTGCTCTTGCTGATTTAGTTTCGCTCACCACCGCCTTTTCAGCTTGTTCCTTGTTTGCATAAACAAACGCAACTGATTTGTGTGTGCTGCCTTTGCATCCTGCTGCTTTGATGGATTCATTTATTAGTTCTAACAGTGAGTGTGTGTGTATGTGGAATCTTTACAGGGTTTTCTACATAAAAATCAAATTATCTGCAAACAGAGATAATTTTACTTTCTACTTTCTGATTTGGATGCTTTTTTTCCCTTTTTATTGCCTAATTGGTCTGACTAGCACTACTAGTACTATGCTGGATAAAAGTGGTGAAAGTGGGCATATGTGTGCAGATTCTATATCTGACAGAGAACTTACAATTTAGAATAGATCAAGAACTCATTTACCTTCACGGTAAAACAATGTAGAGATCTTCCTCAATTTATGACTGGGCTACATCCAGATTAAACCCATCAAAGCTGAAAGTCTTCTGAGTAAAAAAATTGTGTTTAATGCACCTAATTTACTGAACATCATGGCTTAGCCTCGCTTCCCTTAAATGTGCTCAGAATGCTCACATTAGGCTCCAGTCGGACAAAACTATCTAATACAAAGCCTATTTTACAATAAAAGTGTTGACCATCTCATGTATTAATGACATTGAACACTGTACTAAAAGTGAAAAAGCGGACTTGTCTGGGAACAGGATGGCTGTAAGGGTATCCGGTGTGAATCCTCATGAGGTGTTGTGGTGTGGCTGACCGGAAGGGCAGCTCACTGCCCCTCGTCCAGTATCATGAGAAAGTATATGTTATGATGTGATTTCTCTTGTGTTATGATTCTTCTCCATCTTGTGTGAAACGTTTAGGATTTAAGCTATTTTGAATTGTGTTAAGTAGTTCAAAGTGGGGTCATAGTGGCCAATGTCAATCTCCAGATCAGTTGTTCTGAAAGGTCTGACGTAGGACTAAGAGAACCTTAGAGGTTAAATGAAGAGCGTTACTTTATGCACTTGTTTGCCAACATGAATCACAGGAAGGGGTGACTTACAGAGACAGGACCGCAGGGGTATAACATACTAACCATGCTGACAGACTCCATGACAAGAGACCACCAAGGTGAGCAACCTGAAGGCTCTTGGCAGGAAGACAGGACTCCAAGCTGCTGAGAGAGGTTCTAGGTGGACTTGCCCGAGAGGCGAAGATCCTGTCTTCTGGGGAACTGTGGTCAAGCCATTGTTAACGTCTGCAATCAGGCTGGGTCTTGTGATGGTCTCTAGACTCCCCTCCCAGCTGGCACAGTCACAAACACACTTAGAGAGGCTGCTTAGACAGAATCACCCAGACTGTCTGGTCACCGAGTCCCAGTGTTACCACTTCAACTGTAGAACCTCATAAGAAGACTTGTCAGCTGGTAAGGTGAAATCCAGATGCTGTCCATGGTGGCAGAGGCTGCTAACGCCAGCACGAATCCATTCACATTTCTTTGTAAAAGCAACCCTGTTGATGTAGGAGGTGGCAATGTGCTCAACTAACAGACCACATGTCCCAGCTTCCTAATGTATCTGGGTGGAGTGATGTGACTAAGTTTTAGCCAATGAGATACACAGAAGGGTTATTGAGCAAGACTTCTGGGAAAACTTATAAAACAGACAATTGTGAAATGCCTTTTGAAAAAAGACCATAGCCCTTTCCTCTTTCTTCAGCCCCTAGGCTGGGGGCAGAATTCAAATGTGATCACTGGTGTTCCAGTATCAATGTTTGCTCATGAGAGGACCTTCAGGAAAGAAAGCCAGAGGTAAAGATACAGAACCATGTTGCTGCGTTTGCAGCGACATGGATGGGCCTAGAGATCATGTTGCTTTCATTGTTTCGTCTCTCAGTCCTGTCTGACTCTTTGTGACCCCGTGAACTACAGCCCGCAAGGCTCCTCTGTCTATTGGATTTTTCAGGCAAGAATACTGGAGTGGGTTGCCATTTCCTTCTCCAGGGGATCTTCCTGACCCAGGGATTGAGCCCTCACCACCTGCATTGCAGGCAGGTTCTTTACCTCTGAACTACCAGGGAGGCCAGAGATGATCCTACTAAGTGAAATAAGTTAGACAGAGGAAGACAAATATTATATGATATTGCTTATATGTGGAATCTAAAAATATAATACAAATAAATTTATTTGCAAACAAACAGATTCACAGACACAGAAAACAAACTTAAGGTTACCAGTGGGGAAAGGGGAGGGGGAAGAATAAATTAGGAGGATGGGATTAACAGATACACACCACTATCTATAGAGTGGACAAATGCTAAGGGCTTATTTATAGCACAGGGAACTATATTCAATATTTTGTGATCTCCTATAACAGAAAAAGACCTGAAGTTGTGCACTTGAAACTAACAACAATATTGTAAAAATCAATTATAGTTTAATTTAAAAAAAAAGATACAGAACCAAGAAATTGAAGGAGTCTTCCTTCCTGATGTGCATAGCCATGCAGCCCAGGACTGCCATCTGTGAACTTTAATGTGAGAGAGGAAATACATTACTAGTTGTCAAGCACAATTTCTAAATGATGTCCTTTTGTGTGAAGCACTGTCCTGGCCTGTCAGCCTTGGGACCTATTAAAAAAGGGAACGAGATTGCTGTGGCAGGTCTCCTGTCCCCACTGAGCATGTGTTGATTTTAAGAGAACAGGGGCTGATGTGTTTGAAGAGCAAAATTAGGAAGTATAACTGAGAGGGGCAAGGAGCAGGGGAGGGTAGACTTTGCCTCGGGAAACATGAAGGCATGAGGATTGAATGAGGAACGTGAAGCCGTACTTTTAGCATCAGCGAGCAGGGGGCCACACGCTCCTCCATCCCAGTCCTTTCCTTCTGTCTAATAGGTCCTGGGGACAGAGCTTATAGCACACCCATGGACCCAGTCTATGGGGAAGGCTTCTCCGGTCCCCGTGAAATGAAACGTGGGAGCAGGGTGGCCAGGATAAGACTCCCCGAAGGACAAATCTTCAGAGACACATGGTTTGACTTCCTGAGGCTATGGCAGAGAGGTAGGCAGCAGCCAGCTTTTTGCCCGATGTGAAGTGAAGGCTCTAACTTTAAAGGGAAATGTGAGGGAGGGGAGCATGCGGTCTGCGGGGGGAGGGGAGCGTGTGGTCGGCGGGGGGAGGGGAGCATGAGGTCTGCGGGGGGAGGGGAGCGTGCGGTCGGCGGGGGGAGGGGAGCGTGTGGTCTGCGGGGGGAGGGGAGGGTGTGGTCTGCGGGGGGAGGGGAGCGTGCGGTCTGCGGGGGGAGGGGAGCGTGCTGTCTGCGGGGGGAGGGGAGCGTGAGGTCTGCGGGGGGAGGGGAGCGTGAGGTCGGCGGGGGGAGGGGAGCGTGCGGTCTGCGGGGGGAGGGGAGCGTGCGGTCGGCGGGGGGAGGGGAGCGTGTGGTCTGCGGGGGGAGGGGAGGGTGTGGTCTGCGGGGGGAGGGGAGCGTGCGGTCTGCGGGGGGAGGGGAGCGTGCTGTCTGCGGGGGGAGGGGAGCGTGAGGTCTGCGGGGGGAGGGGAGCGTGAGGTCTGCGTGGGGAGGGGAGCGTGCGGTCTGCGGGGGATGGGGAGCGTGCGGTCGGCGGGGGGAGGGGAGCGTGCGGTCGGCGGGGGGAGGGGAGCGTGCGGTCGGCGGGGGGAGGGGAGCGTGTGGTCTGCGGGGGGAGGGGAGCGTGCGGTTGGCGGGGGGAGGGGAGCGTGTGGTCTGCGGGGGGAGGGGAGCGTGTGGTCTGCGGGGGGAGGGGAGCGTGCGGTTGGCGGGGGGAGGGGAGCGTGAGGTCGGCGGGGGGAGGGGAGCGTGCGGTCGGCGGGGGGAGGGGAGCGTGCGGTCGGCGGGGGGAGGGGAGCGTGCGGTCGGCGGGGGGAGGGGAGCGTGCGGTCTGCGGGGGGAGGGGAGCGTGCGGTCGGCGGGGGGAGGGGAGCGTGCGGTCGGCGGGGGGAGGGGAGCGTGCGGTCTGCGGGGGGAGGGGAGCGTGAGGTCTGCGGGGGGAGGGGAGCGTGTGGTCGGCGGGGGGAGGGGAGCGTGCGGTCGGCGGGGGGAGGGGAGCGTGCGGTCGGCGGGGGGAGGGGAGCGTGCGGTCGGCGGGGGGAGGGGAGCGTGCGGTCTGCGGGGGGAGGGGAGCGTGCGGTCGGCGGGGGGAGGGGAGCGTGCGGTCGGCGGGGGGAGGGGAGCGTGCGGTCTGCGGGGGGAGGGGAGCGTGAGGTCTGCGGGGGGAGGGGAGCGTGTGGTCGGCGGGGGGAGGGGAGCGTGAGGTCGGCGGGGGGAGGGGAGCGTGAGGTCGGCGGGGGGAGGGGAGCGTGCAGTCGGCGGGGGGAGGGGAGCGTGCGGTTGGCGGGGGGAGGGGAGCGTGAGGTCTGCGGGGGGAGGGGAGCGTGTGGTCTGCGGGGGGAGGGGAGCGTGCGGTCTGCGGGGGGAGGGGAGCGTGCGGTCTGCGGGGGGAGGGGAGCGTGCGGTCGGCGGGGGGAGGGGAGCGTGCGGTCGGCGGGGGGAGGGGAGCGTGCGGTCTGCGGGGGGAGGGGAGCGTGAGGTCTGCGGGGGGAGGGGAGCGTGTGGTCGGCGGGGGGAGGGGAGCGTGAGGTCGGCGGGGGGAGGGGAGCGTGAGGTCGGCGGGGGGAGGGGAGCGTGCAGTCGGCGGGGGGAGGGGAGCGTGCGGTTGGCGGGGGGAGGGGAGCGTGCGGTTGGCGGGGGGAGGGGAGCGTGAGGTCTGCGGGGGGAGGGGAGCGTGTGGTCTGCGGGGGGAGGGGAGCGTGAGGTCGGCGGGGGGAGGGGAGCGTGCGGTCGGCGGGGGGAGGGGAGCGTGAGGTCGGCGGGGGGAGGGGAGCGTGCGGTCTGCGGGGGGAGGGGAGCGTGTGGTCTGCGGGGGGAGGGGAGCGTGCGGTTGGCGGGGGGAGGGGAGCGTGTGGTCTGCGGGGGGAGGGGAGCGTGCGGTTGGCGGGGGGAGGGGAGCGTGAGGTCGGCGGGGGGTGGGGAGCGTGAGGTCGGCGGGGGGAGGGGAGCGTGAGGTCGGCGGGGGGTGGGGAGCGTGAGGTCGGCGGGGGGAGGGGAGCGTGAGGTCGGCGGGGGGAGGGGAGCGTGCGGTCGGCGGGGGGAGGGGAGCGTGCGGTCGGCGGGGGGAGGGGAGCGTGCGGTCGGCGAGGGGAGGGGAGCGTGCGGTCTGCGGGGGGAGGGGAGCGTGCGGTCTGCGGGGGGAGGGGAGCGTGCGGTCGGCGGGGGGAGGGGAGCGTGCCGTCGGCGGGGGGAGGGGAGCGTGCGGTCGGCGGGGGGAGGGGAGCGTGCCGTCGGCGGGGGGAGGGGAGCGTGCGGTCGGCGGGGGGAGGGGAGCGTGCCGTCGGCGGGGGGAGGGGAGCGTGCGGTCGGCGGGGGGAGGGGAGCGTGCGGTCGGCGGGGGGAGGGGAGCGTGCGGTCGGCGGGGGGAGGGGAGCGTGCGGTCTGCGGGGGGAGGGGAGCGTGCGGTCGGCGGGGGGAGGGGAGCGTGCCGTCGGCGGGGGGAGGGGAGCGTGCGGTCGGCGGGGGGAGGGGAGCGTGCGGTCTGCGGGGGGAGGGGAGCGTGCCGTCGGCGGGGGGAGGGGAGCGTGCGGTCGGCGGGGGGAGGGGAGCGTGCGGTCGGCGGGGGGAGGGGAGCGTGCGGTCGGCGGGGGGAGGGGAGCGTGCGGTCGGCGGGGGGAGGGGAGCGTGCCGTCGGCGGGGGGAGGGGAGTGTGCCGTCTGCGGGGGGAGGGGAGTGTGCGGTCTGCGGGGGGAGGGGAGCGTGAGGTCTGCGGGGGCAGGGGGTTCACAGGTGGACGTGCAGGCTGAACACAGCTCACGCGGAGGAGGGCGCGTGTGTAAGTTACAGGGTCGATGCGCCAGGAAACAACGAGAGGGAAGAGACTGGGCGTCACCACGGCCCTGACTGGTGACATGTCCCTGGAATGAGCCCTCCTCTCTGCCGGGCTCACTTGCCCCCTCTGCTCTGATGGGGCGGCCACAGGGGACGCGCTTCCGGCCATGATGAGTTTTATGGCTTCTGAAAGCATTGAAGCTTGTTCTGTTCTGTTTCTGTGCGAGAAGAAATGACACCTCCTTTGCTTCCTTTCGGCCTCCCTCTCCCTCTCGACAGTTGGCTTGGGTCTACAGCTTAGAATCGTTGGGGCCATCACACCCCAAGGCGGCCGGGGGCAAGCTCCCGTTGAAGCGGATCTGACCCGGGCCTTGCTGCTACTAATACAACTGGAAGGCACAATCACGCTCCTCTCTCGGCTCGAGATAGGAATTTAAATTAAACCTCATTTAGCCGGGCGCTCCCGTTTGATTTATCGGCAGATGCCGCTTGCTGTTTGAGCCTTGTTAAATTGCTAGCAAACACTTCACTGACCAGCTGTTCCTATTAAGCAGAAAGCGCACTGCGGAGCGGGGTCAATCCCCTTGCACTTTGGATGGTTCTTAGATGTCATCCCTGTGGAGCGGCCACAGGGAGGGGATTACCCCCTGCCCCCTGGGAGCCCCTGCTTAACGGCAGGGGGCGATTCTTATGTCTGTGGGTCGGGAGAGAAGAGGGTGGGCTGCCCTAGTCCGGAAAGCGATGCTCTCTTCTGCAGGAACTGGTCCTGCCCAGCGAGACTGGGAGGAAGGCAGGGGTCTGACACCCAGCCCTGTCAGCACATGGAAGATGCTGTCCCCCATGGCCAGCCAAGGATGTGGCTTTGTGGAGCCGGGGCTGGGCCAGTGAAACCCAGACAGGGGCGCAGCTTTGTGTGGGCTACCCCACCTTCCCCAGAGGAAGCAGAAGGCGTGTGCTTCCATTGGCTCTTTCAGTCACTCCTGTGACATGTCCCGAGTGTCCTTTTGGTGAGAAGCCCAGGGCTGTCCATCTGTGTTTGCTGCATCTTTGTGTGAATACGAACGGGTCCCTATCTTCCTGGTGGACCCAGTACTGGGCTGAGTGGAGGGCAGAGGCCCGGGCAAGCAGCCTCTGCAGCTCCACCTCCGCCCCAGCCTCTGGGTGGGGGGGGCTTGGGGGACGCCTTTGTGCAGTGCGGGAGCCCCACGACTGTGCTGGGCCCCACATCGGTCACTCCAAGCGTTAAGGGAGCTTGACTGGCTGCCGAGTCCTTTTTCCTCCATGACACGCTTCCCCATTCCCTGGTAGGCCCTCATGTTCTCCCACCTCCTCACTCCCCTCTTTCCCCAAAGTGGAGTCCCCTTCCCCCCAGCACCCATCCTGCCCAGGTCGAGAGCAGCTCCTTACCCGGGAGCTGAGTCCAGGTCAGAACGGTCCTCGGGCGCCTGGAGGGAGGCTGCCCAACACTGAGCTTGGGGCCCGGGCCTGGATCAGGGCTATGCGGGGCTCTTGTGCCAGACCTGGGGGCCAGGGAAGCCCTGTTTCTGAGCGCGTGGTGGTGGTCCTGACACATGGACCCAGTGAGACCCAGATCACAGGCTCTGTCACTCTGCTTACCTGGTATTCTTGTTTCAGGAGGCAGAGGCATCACTTTGATTTTAGAAATTCCAGTAAAAAATATCTCAGATGCCAGATCCTGAGAATGACCCTTCTCTGTATCGCTGTGAACTGTCTAGAATCCCTCACCCAGCAGCTGCAGAGCCACGAGCTAGGGCCAGGCCTGGTTAGAACGGCTTGTGGGGGTTAACATATCTTGGGAGTCCAGCCAGATCCTGACCCAGGCGTCAGAGAGAAACGCCACAAAGATTCTCTAAGACCTAAGGGCAGAGGTCAAAGTGTCTCCTCCCACCCCCCCCTTTTCTGCCCTTACGACACAAAGACTAGATAAAGCAAACCCAGGGCCAGGGGCCTCCTGGATGGAACCCGTCCAGGGGCAGCGTTGTCTTTCCTCATCTCATGGTCAGAGCTTCCAGGAGGGTTTTGGGCTGAGAAGAGCCCAGGCTTCTGAATTCATTCCCTGGTTGTCAACAGAGATCCTGGCCTTCTAGACATTCTGTCAGCTGGTCCTGTTGAGAGAGAACCTGGCCTTCTTGCCCTTTTTTTTGTTCAGGTTTTCTCCTTGGCCTCTGTGGTCGGACCTCCT